TATTTTATTCTAAAGTTTCTTTTAGAGAACTAGATGATGATGAAAATTTTTTTTTATCCACTACCAATTCATACCGCCAAAAACCATCAAAAGTACGTGAATCAGAGAATATGGATGATACCGGCTATTTTTCCATTCAAGTTTTACAGCGTGCCCTTAAAATAGTTGACATTGAATTAATATCTTATAATAGTCAACAGAGAATCGCTGAACAAGCTCGACAAACACCAACAAATATTCAAGGTTATATATGTAATTTACATCAACATTGGTTAACAATTCGACGCTTTGGCTCACAATATTTTGATTTAAATTCTATGTTAACTGTACCAATATTAATATCAAATACATATTTATCATTATATTTAGCTCAGTTACAACTTAATGGCTATAGTATATTCATTGTTAACGGAGTCTTACCGGTCTGTGTAGCAGATGAACGTTTATCACGGTCGCCAGTTGATCCGAAACGCTATAACCAATTAACGAAACGTTTAAACAATTCAAAAGTTGTTATTCAAACGTCATCATCTCATAAACTAACATCATCGATGTTTGATAATGATGATGATAATTTAACACGTGCAATAGAAGCAAGTATTCAACATAACAATGTCCAAGACAAAATATTACAAGAAGCATTAGAGAAAAGTTTTTTCGATTCACAGAAAGGTAATATACAAAATAACGAACTAACTAATCAACTATTATTGGAAGAAGCGATTGCGGCTAGTTTAAATAACGTTTCTTTAACATCTCAAAAGCAACAGGAACAGCTCACCGTTGACGCATTGCGTTCGAAGAGATTACAATATTACGAAAATAAAGAGTAGATAGGGTTCAAAGATGCAAAAGAATCATTTAGAGATGAACAGTATGACAATTACACATAGTTTATCTATCACATAGAATGTCTTTGTGTTTGAATACTGTGTATTACACAGTATGCAATATAAGACAATAATCATTCTTATAATTTTATTTATGTAATCAAATAATTAATATCACTATTTGTTCATTAGTGTAAAAGAGAATAACATTTATATCACTTAGATAAAACATACTTTTTTTCTTTTCTTGATTTATAACGCAGTTCACCCTGACAAGATATATTATAATATAATTTATTTACTTTTTTTGTGCATTTTATTCTTATTTTTATTTTTTTATTTACTTTATCTGTCTTGTATTTCAAAATATAGAAAATAATAGAGTGAAAGTTATCGAAAACAAAGAGTAAAGAGTACATGGCACGTTCCTATCTCCTGGAAATTGAAAAAATTTCCTGACCTTACCTCACCCTGTCTAAGATAATAGTGCTAGCTAAAGGATAGAAATTCATTTGAATTTTCTGACCTTACCACACGTTAACTAACCGAAGTGTTGGGTGAGCTCTAAATCTAAGCGAAAACTTTTTCCATGAAATTTTACTTTATACTTGTACATTTTAAATTTCCACGAAATAGGAACATGCCATGCTATGTCGTATTCGCTCGGAATCCATTTCGTTATGCAATGGATGATCA